ACAACTAATGACATCACAAGTGTAAAAAGAAAAGAAAACATAAAGTGAACAAACACTTAACACAAGATAACTAAAGGGAACATAACAAAAGAAAGAAGAATACGAGAAAGAAAATACGACATCACGAACACAAGCACAAGAGAACGGCACCAAAAACTTAATGCTACACAAACACAAAAATGACAAAACAACGCCAAACTTGGCACACAACAAATGATTAAACTAGTAGTTCTCGGCTTTTCCTAGTAACTTAAGACTCACCGGCAACGGCGCCAAAAACTTGATAACGCTTATGCGCGATTGAGCTTTAAATTTATAAGTCAATGCACACTCTCTATTCAATCCTAACTAAGCCAAGTATAACCTAGCTAGGGTTGTAGTAAAGTGGCTCGGGCGTATTCCAAGGGATCCCTAAGCTTACTACGCTCCGAACTACTAGCTAATCGAATCGGTAGTTGGGTAAAAAGTATAATCTAATCTACTCCTAAAAACCAACGAGTGATTAGGAGAACACTAGAGATAAGACGGTTGCCTAGGGTCGAATCCTCCTAGATATGGTTGTCATGTAGGGTTAAGGGAATATGGTGAGCGAGCTCTTTTTCGTGAGCTTTTGTGGTTATCCACATGCCTCCAAGTACGCCTCCACTAAACCCATATAAAGAAACCTCGATCTAGGCTATCGTATCTGGGATATTAAGCTCGTAGCTCCTTTCAATGGATACTATCCACCATCCACACCGATGTTTTATCCTGGGTTCTATTTAGGGGACAGGTTACGGTGATTACTATTTTATAGTAATCACCGTGATTACTAAGGACAAACTGGGTATAACAAAAAATTTATTAATGATCTTTTTAATAAATTACATTTTAGGAAATTACATAAATATATTAAATACAATTTTTCTCTCTCTCTTTCTCTCACTTCCACAATTTTTCAGCCATATCTCTCTTCCTTATTTTTCTCAATCTTTCCTTGATTTCGTTCATCCAAACTAATACCGCTGCAACAACAAAACAATAAATCAATACCAATCCATTAAAAAAAATACTACCATTGTACAAAACATCAATACCATTCAAGAAATAAAAACACTACCATTTCACAAAACATCAATACCATTGCAGATTTAATCACTACCAATGCGACAAAATCAATACCAATGTAACAAAATCAATACCAATGCGACAAAATCACTACCAATGCGACAAAATCAATACCAATGCGACAAAAATAATACCAATGCGACAAAAACAATACCAATACGACAATAACACTACCACTACGAAAAAAATGACTACCATTTAAAAAAAATCACTACGGAAAAAAATGACTACCATTAAAAAAAAACATACCAATCCTTAAAGATTGCTGGAGGTCTCCACGACAACCCTAGGCATGAGTCGTTTTCAGGTTTGGAATGTGATTTGAATGAAGCATGATTTGAATGTGATTTGAATGGAGGAAGAAAGCTCTGCTGCTGCTAGCGTTAGCAAGCCGAAAGGCGAGAGGAGAAGGTCTTCCAAGCCCAATCCCCGGCTGAGCAATCCGTCCAAGCATCTCCACGGCGAGCAGGTAGCTCCACGACAACCCCAGGCGCCCACGAGACGACGGAGATGACGGAACAGACGGTGGAGGTTGCGCCGTTAACCATGCCGCAAGAGGAACCAACGAGTGTAGAGGAGATGACGGAAGTCAACGGGGAGGCCTGGCGCGACGTCGAGCCGACGGAAGAGGCGGCACGGGCAAACCCTAAGCCATCGTCGGGGAGGGTGAGAGCTTGCGGCTACGGCGGGTTTGGCTGTAGAAGTAGGGTTAGGGTAGAATATATAGAATAATCAAGTGTGGTCCTTTTTTTTTCTTCCAAAATTATCCTGAGGAAATCTTAACCGTAAGATTAAAAAAAGAGGAAAGAGAAGAAAATAAATGGTGGATACTGATGTAGCCACGGTGGCTACTAGAAAATCAGTTACCACCCTAACACATTCCTCTATTTAGGAATGCTACCTATAGCAAGAGTTCGGTCGCCTCGACCACCATAGGTCCTTATTCTTACATCTACCTCAATTTTCTTGATGACGCATACCCGTCTAATCCTAGAACTCCATACCCAGCGTAGAAGCGTAAAGTAGGCTAATAGAGAAGATTATGGTAACTTACCCACACACAATCAAGGATAGAATAGCAATAGAATCAACTAGATAAACACATTCATAACCCATTCATACACAACCTATAAACTAGGGTTCATCTTCCCTAAACAACCATTAAGGATTGAAGTCATTAGAGAGAAGAAGAAAACACAAACTAGAATAGGGGAGTGATGGAATCAAGCTTCTTCTCCTTGCTTGCACCTTCTCTTTGCTTCTTGGGTTGATTGGATCTTCAATGAAGCTCTCCCAAGGTGTTTCCCTCTCTAAAACACTAAAAAACCCTAACTTTCTCACTCTAAGGCGGCTCTCTTTTGAAAAGTGCAGCAAGAGGGGTATTTATAGAAAGTTGATGGCGCTTAAGGCCTCCAGGGTGTGACCCGATGGTCACGGCCGTCACCTGGACGTGACCAGCTTGGATTGTCTCCGAGTCGCCCTAAATGACGCAATTTGTCCCGTCTTTAAGTTCCAAGATCGCGGCCTGCTTCATGAAATCACGACCGCGATATTTGTGTCCCGTGCACGATCTTTTGTCGCGGTCAAAATACGCCATGCCCACGATCCAAGTGAGGAAACTCTCTACTTCCTTCTAGATCGCCTGCAGAGGTTCATGGACACTGATCGCGACCACGATCACATGCCGCGATCATCGTCGCGACCTAGTCAATTGCAATGACCTATGGTTGTCACTAGTGCCTTTTCTCCTCTTCTTGCTCCTGTGCTTTCCAATCATGCTCGGATGAAATCCAACCGATTCCCCGATCAATCCCAAATGAATATAAGACCTGGAATTTCATCACAAACACTTGGGTAAGCATAAAATACGACAAATTGGGGTAAGTTCCCCTATGAAAACCTTCATATCATGAATACCAATGCCAAAATGCATGTTTTGCAAATAGGAACGAATATGGGCATAAATAACTTGACCTATGGCATAGACACGGTGATTAATCATGAAAATAACTTGGAAATAGGGGCTAAATAAGGCCTATTTTAGGTGTTATCATGTGGTGTGGTGTTTCTGATTTCTGAAATCTGAATTGGGGAAAAGGTCGAGTCGAGTCCTCAAGATCACGAGGAAGGACGAAGGAGATGTTGATGGGACGACATCGTTTCTGGAGAGGAGTGGTGGAGTGGGGTGGGGCGGTTAGCAACGAAGCACCGACGGGTTTTCGGTTATCCATCGAAAATTGTCGGATAGCCGACTGCACTGCCTGCCAACCAAAGCCGATAATCGCGACCAATAATGAGTCATCAATTGACCGATGGACCAGTATTATCGATTAGTTTTTTGGATTTTGGTTTTTTGGTGAATCGTGAAACTAAACCGAGATTATCGGTTAGTCGGTCAATTGATGGACCAAATGTTTTATCACGGTTGAATGTAAAACCAGATGAACCGTCACGGTTTAACTGGTCCACTAGTTCCCTATTTTACCATGATCTAAAAAAAATATTTAATGTAACTAAGACCATCAAACTAGAATTATTAATTTTATTTTTGCTTCCTCTTCTCATTTTCCAAACTCGTTATTGACTTTATGTGGTCCCCTAACGAATGGCAGTCTGGCACCATAATTTTTAAGTTGAATTAAAAAAAAATTATGATTTCTTTTATGAGACGTTTGAATGATCTGTCAGATATTTTGGTGATGTATGAATTTGAAATTATTTATGATCAATAATTATTTCATTCTTAAATTAGTATATTATACAAGTCTTGTATGTTATATATCATGAACGGTTCTATCAACAGTTACCCCAATGGTTTTGTAACGATTAACCATTAAACCCTAAACCACAAACATTTTCGATTCAACGTCCCAACCTATTAACTTTCCGGGTATGCTTATGATGACTTGCAAGTAATCGTAACTTGGAGAAAACGTTCGACCTCATTTATTAAACGGTTGAGCACTTTCCAAGAAAATGGTCTATCGCTTCCACCAAGTGGTTCACCTGATGACATACTTACCTTCAAAAGGTTGACCTATTCCATCAAGTGGTCGACCACTTTTCAAGAAATGGTCTATCACTTCCACCAAGTGGTCGGCCTGATGACGTACTTACCTTCAAGTGGCCGACCTCTTTCACTGGTGGAATAGGTCGACCACTTGAAGACTTTTCAAGGATATGGTTTACCATTTACACCAAGCGGTCTACCACTTGAGACATTTTTCATATCTACGAGAGAACAACTCAAGAAACTTCTCATCTATGCTCTAGCCTTTGGACTAATTTTAACTCTCTTACTAGCAAACATATCTATTATTATCGGGCTCTAATTATATATGATGAAATCACTAACAATGGTTGTTGACCAGTTGTTGAAAGCGGTGAACTGCTTGATGAAAGTGCTAGACCACTTGATGGAAGTAGTAGACCTTTTTTTGTAAAATGGTTGAACTTTTAATATAAGAGGTCTACTGTTTGTTGAACATTGTATAATGAAAAATAGTACAAATAATTAGGGGTGGCTATACGGTCCGGTCCGGTTAAATTGGACCAAATTGATCCGGTCCCAGTCCGGTCTTTTCGGGAATATAAGGACCAAAGATTGGATTGGATACAGTCCGGTCTTGACCCAGTCCGGTCCCAATTTTATCTTGATTTTAGGTGTTGGGGGTCTCTTATTCGGTCTTTATCCAGTTTTTTACCTCAAATCTAAGCCCGAATATGAGATTGCATTATTTGCTATCCGGTCCCAGTCCGATCCCGATCCGAGTTATATGGTCCGATTTCGGATAAAACCAAATAGTACGGGACCAAATAGCCCGCCCTACAAATAATCGACAAATCAATCAAGAGATCGATTTTTTTTATCCAAATCACCACCATAACTTTCTGCGCATTTGAAATTTCAATTTCACCGTAAAAAAAGGACAGCTCATAGAGGTACTCATTTTTCACTAATTAGTCCAAACTGGAAGATTAAGCAAAAGAAACCAAGTCATAGAAAGGGGAAGATAATGTGGCCCATCAATTCATCTCCAAAAGTCCAGAACGCGTTTTGTGGGGCCCAAAGAACTCTCCCTCCGGCCTCCTCCCTAACCCAAACTCAGAACCGTTTCCATCTCCCGACCGTACAGCAGTGTGTACCTCCTTTTCTCCTCCCTCCGCAATCTTCCCGTCCGGTCCCTTTTCCTTCCCACAAAACCTTCGCCGTTTGGCCGCTACCCAACCGAAACAAGAAAGATAACCAAAAGCACAGACGACGATTAGGAAGATAATCGAAGAAGGTGCCTGGATACGGCCAAAATCCGAATATGGCTAACGAAGCTCCCACATAGGCCACACCCACCACCATGAAAAATCAGAGAGAGATAGATACCCTTGAATGAATGTCCTTGCTCCTGACTCTCTCTCCTATTTAGGAGAGTAATTTGGATTCTAGCCTTGGTTTGGTATTTTGCCGTTTTCCTGCTCCTTTTTTACCTTCCTCTAGCTTTATTGTTCTCGGGGGGTGTATAAAAATTAGGCAGAGCGATGTAGATGATGAACCTCTGTTTCCACTCTCTACTGTTCTTTCTTCTTCTGGGTTCTATTTGATTTTGATGGTAATTGGTTTGATCGGTGCTCCGTCTCTTGTCAGCGAGTTGTTGCTCTGCCCCTGTTTTTTCCGTCGCTGTGGTTTGGTGTAGTTTTGGGTGGGGTGGAGGAAGAGTGAAAACGATGTCGCAGAAGAGACAACCACCTGAAGAAGGAGGGAAGGCTCGTGCTGAGGGGAATTCTAGTCCTGATGAGAAGAGGAGAAGATTTAATCTCAGAAAGTGGGTACTTGCTTCCTCTTTTTCTCTGTTTTACTTTGTGGTTTCGGGTTCCAATGATTTCTTTGGTTTCTGAACTTTGATGCCAGAACGGGAAATTAGATTGAAATTGAACCGGGCTATAACTTGTTTCAGTGAATGATGAGATGGTCAATGTAGAATTCTAGAATTTGGTTATTGTGAAAAACAGAGTGAGTTTGGGTTCTGATTCGAAGTCATATGGGTTATGGTCTAACTTTTGATTGTGATTATTGTGGACTTTTATGGGAAAACTTAGCTGGGTTCCTACCATTTTGTTGCAATAGATTTGCAAAATGCCAAATGTGTTTCCCTATGATGAAAAATGCCCGCCCAGTTGCCATGGCTGAAGCAATTATCTTTTGGTCATCCATTTTCGTCTCATTCCTCCTTTTGAATTTGTTTCATCTTGATTTCTTTGGGAGCTTGGCTCTAGTGACTTGGTATATCTGCACTTAATCTCTAATGCTACTACTGCTGATCGACAGTGTAGTGCAAGAAGCAATGAAGATGCGTGCACTGGAGTGTGTTATGGAGCCATTAATTCGTAAAGTGGTATGATACTGTTGTCATTGTTGCTACCTTCTCGGTAACCCTTTTTAATCTGGGACAGAGATATGTTGATGATTGATTATCCTTTATAAAAAAAGAGTATCCTTTATATTGCACGATGATAATGGATCCTACCTTGGTAGTACTAGTATGGATAATTTGAATCCTTCAACCTCTATAGCCATTTTCATTATGGACAATCAGTCACAATGTATACATTATAATCTTTCAGTATACCCTTATCTCAGTTTTCTTTGTGTGTTTAACCACCTGTCCTTGAACTTCATTGTTATTGGCTTTATGTTGATGATGTTAGCTATTGCCTGGCAGGTGAAAGAGGAAATTGAAGTGGCTCTCAAAAAACATTTGGTCAGCATTGCTTGGTATGAGTAAAGTCTGTCAGAATCATGACTTTAAGTTGTAAATTTCCAAAGTTGGACAAATACCTGCTAACCCAGGTTTTAAGCTCATGCTTCATTGTTTTGCTAGAATTATTGAATAGATGTCCTTCTCATCTCCCCACCTCTTAGTTTTGAGTTGCCTCTGTATATCTCAAGTATCATCTTATAAACTGTTTCAGGAGCAATGGAAATGAGAGAGGCTCTTCTGAATCAAGATGCTTAAAGCTGCACTTCTCAAATAATCTCTCTCTTCCAGTTTTTACTTCAGCTCGTATTGAAGGAGATGATCCTCCAGCTTTACAAGTAGTTTTGATTGACAATCAAACTGGGAACATTGTTAACTCGGGCCCTGAAGCTTATGCGAGGGTGGAAATTTTGGTTCTTGAAGGTGATTTTGATAGTGAAGAGGGAGATAATTGGACACCAGAAGAATTCAAGAACAACATTGTAAAAGAGCGTGAAGGGAAGAAGCCTCTTCTCTCGGGAGACGTGCTTTTAAATCTTAAAGATGGGGTTGCATTGGTTGGTGATATTTCATTTACAGATAATTCAAGTTGGACTAGAAGTAGAAAATTCAGAATTGGAGCTAGAGCTCTGGACAACTTCCATGGAATTAGAATAAAAGAAGCAAAGACGGAATCCTTCATTGTCAGAGATCACCGAGGAGAATGTAAGTACTTTGTAATCAATTTCTGTTGCAAGAATCTACAATCTGCTTTAAATTATTAAAGCTAGATTTATAGTTGGAACTTGGAACAGCTACTGAGTTGAAGTAAGAGATATGAGAGTAATCAAATTAGAAAGCAGATAGAAAATACAGTTTCCTTTGTTGTTGAATATTTATTGTTGCAGTATACAAGAAGCATCATCCTCCTGCTCTATCTGATGAGGTATGGAGACTGGAAAAGATTGGGAAAGATGGAGCTTTTCACAAGCGTTTGTGTCGGGAGAATATTAGTACAGTGAAGGATTTCCTCACACAACTTTCTATAAACCCTCCAAAGCTGCGGCATGTAAGTTGATAGTCTCATGTTACATGTGACAAAAATTAGGTTAAATCCTGTGTCTTGGTTATTATATGTAGTTCTTCAACACCCTTAATTTGATCATTGTCTCTTGTTAGGGAAGTACTTATTTGCTAGCTTATATGCAGATCCTTGGTACAGGTATGTCTGCCAAAATGTGGGAAGTTACAGTGGAGCATGCTCAGACATGTGTGCTTGATAACAGAGTATATTTGTACTTCTCTTCTGGTGGCCAACTAAAAACTGCTGTGGTCTTCAATCTTGTCGGACAAGTTAGAGGAGTGCTATCAGAATTCCAGTATCTTTCTATCGACAATATGTCTGAAACTGAGAAGGCTGATGCTCAAAAGTCGGTGATTGCTGCATTTGAGCACTGGGATGAAGTCATATCTTGTGAGGACGAGAGCTGTCTTATGGCTGGCTCTTCACACTTTAATACCACCCCTTATATTTCAAGCTCATCAAGAACAGATAATTCTAATGTGGATGCACCAAAGGTGGGAGTGTTTGATTGCTTGCAACCAAATTCAGGATGTTCCCCTGATATAGCATCATCCATGTACTCTGTTGGTGGTGTTGGTAACCCGGAAGACTATGGTTTCCCGGGTATTGAAAACATGGGCCTAACATATGAGCAGACTTTGAGTTTCGCTAGCCAAGTTGCAAACCCTCTCATCCATGATGCAGTAGATTCAATAACTCAAGCTCTCTGTGATTATGATGATGATGATCATCTCCGATTCTTTGATACCGATCTTCAGTCCCAGAACCTCTGCTTGGGAGCACAAGCAGACTTACAGAGTGCAGTGGATGGATTTTTGTTGTCACGTTCGACTACCGCTGTTGCTATTGGTAGTAAAGCTCAGAGGAGATGGGCGAAGGTGTCTAGTGTGCTGAGATGGTTTTCGATCAGGAAGCTTGTTGCTAGAAGGAATCGTGTTCGAGATATTCATGATTCACTGGATGTTAGAAAGATGGTTACTAGGTAATAGGCTTGTAGCTAGCTGCTTTTGTAAAACTGGTAATAGTCAAGTAAGTCACTGCTTCCCTAAGTGAAGGTTTTTGTGTGAAGTTTGTAGAGTGACAGACACAATGGATTTAAATGTTTTGTGTTGAGTTGTATATTTGCTCTCAAATCTCGTTACTTCTGGCCTAGGCTTCCTTGTAAACAATACAACAAATGATAAGACCTTTGAAAACTAGCTTACCGATTGACTTCTGCATGACTGTCTTGAGGGTTCGTTATCCTCTGTGACTTGTTATTGCATTGGAGTGCCACTTTGTACCCAGTTCCATATCCAAAAGATTGAAAGTTATTGTTGCAGAGCAGAGTGAAAAAATCCACAGAGAAATCCACAGAGCTCTGAGTACAAGGTTGATTGATGACTTTGTAATGAAGCAGAAGCTGCTGGACAAGAATAAAGCATAATCTTCTTGGTGCATTTATGACATAAATAGGGCACTGATAGTAGTAATAGTAAGCAATATTTACATAGAAAGTCTGAAAGCTAAACACAGGTATATTTTGACAGCAAGAATTACCCCGAGTATCATAGCCGATACAGTAAAACAAATATTAAAGGTCATTATATCCAAGGTACATCCTCTTTTGATGAAAAAGGTAAAACTGTATACTAGTATCTAGAGATAGAGATGTTTGTATATGAGCAACTGAGTCTTGAGATGATCACGGATAGCTGTGGAGGGGGTTCACAGCTTACAGGCATCACTGGTTTTGCATACTTCACCCTGAAATCAACACATAGAGCACACGTCTTCTCATAAAGGCATGGTAGTGGAACATTAGCAATAAAGCATATTAACCATTGTAAATTTGGCTCCATGAAGACAAGAAACTCCGCCTACCTTCTTCTTGCGAGCCTCTAAGACTTGTTCTAATGGAGGCCGGCCTATAAACAAGCAGAGATTGGGGTCAGTTTGAGATTGAAATCCATTAGCGGGGCAGAAAAACATGAATAACATACAACGTTACAAGGAGGATGCAGTATGTAGGTAGTAACCTGTAACTTGAAGTCGGTATTTAGCCCAAAAGGCATACACAGCATCAGCCAACTTCCCAATCTGTCAAAACAGGTTACACTTTGTTCAAACATTCATACCAAAAGGCTAACAACGAGGTGAATATAGAGCACACAGATTCAGAACCTTACAGGCTCAAACTTGGTAATTGCATAAACCCATCCTAGACCAACTTGCTCATATAATCTTCTGAATGCCTGCACAAGTTTAGTCAACAGTGATTGATTACGTTCCACAGCTGCATTAGAATGTCTCAGACGCCACTTATTGGCATATCTTTCAATCGATTGATAAGGAAAAACTAATATGTCAAGAAGCAGAGGCATACTTCAACATCTGTAACCACTGTTCCATCGGCCATGATCGCATGAATTCTTCCCATTGCCTACACAAATAGCAACCCCATTGCCGTCAATGAAGGCAAATAAACGGCGTTCCAGTTTCAGCTGCAATTCCACAATGATTCACATGCTTAAGCCTAAATCTAAAATGTTAAGCTTGGATGCTCATCCTGCTTACAGTCTCGTAGTCAAGGCCTTGGTTGTCTTCAGCAGAATACTCATCCGAGCTTATGTCCACGAACTTGATCGTCCCATAACTTTTATTCCTCTCTCTTAGCATATCCACCTGGAAGAAAAAAAACCCAAATGCACCAAAACGAAATCAAATTGCTGACACCACTCGAATTAGCAATCATACGAATGTTGCAACACAGAAAACAGGACGACCTCACGCATGCAAAGTGGGCAGTCTCCATCGTAAAGCATCTTAATTTTCCAATTCTCAGGAGAAGTCTCTTCCTCTCCTCTCCCCTTCTCATTAGATGTTACAGGCTCCATTGTTGGCGTTGCCCTATGCACCGCACGAAGCCCACCTCCCCGTCCTGCAAATCGAAAGGAAACAGAATTCAACCCAGTTCAAGTTTCTGTTATAGAATGATTAAAATCAACACCATCGTCTGGTTAAACTCACCGGCAGCTTGCAATACGGATTGTGAAGGGAATCCGTCGACATGGCCGCCGGAAACAGAGGAGCGGTGAAATGCGGCTCTGAGAATGTGAGGCGTCGGGAGACTCGACGGTTTCTGCACATATTTGCTTTTCCGGGCAAGGGAATTGCAAGCAGTGGTAGCTGCTGTCTTCATCTTCATCGCCATGGCCATGAATTCTTTCAGTTGGTTGTTTTTCGCGTGGTGTCGTCTCCGCCTTTCTTTCCCCTCTGATTGCGTTTCGTGGTAGCTGTTTAACTTCGAACCGTCTACGTGGCGCACTGGGCCTCACTAATTAATTACGATAAAAATTAGAAAGGGATGAGATGGCAATATGGAAACAGTCCAAGGTCTGAAGAGCAAAGCTCAAAAACTTTTCTGCCTCGGTTGCAACCGGATCGGCTCTGATCAGTTTTCCGATTTCCCACCTTCTGTAACTGATCTGAAGCATCGCAGGCGGAGATGGCGTTTTTCCTGAAGAATTCATCGCTTTCATCTCATTTCCGATCGCGCTCTCAGGTGCCCATCTATCTATGACTTTTGCTCTTTTTCTGATTCCGTATCTGATATCAAAGTTACCACTCACGCCAACTCTATTAATCTCATTTTCGGCGATCTTATCGATCGAAGGAAGCGCTTTCAGTCCCTCGCCGTGGATTCCATGTCGAGCTTGGGCAGCGGGAAAAAGCTGTGAGTCTATCCTGCATCTCCCTCTACACGTCTCTTTCTATTCGATAAGTTTTTCTCCCCTTTTTGTCTGGATTTCTCCAATTAGGGTTCTAGTTTTCCTTTCGCTGGGCATTTTCTGGTGTTACCAGTGTCGGTTGGGATTCTATTGGATTGTGCAATTGTCTTGTTGCTGGGGATTTTGTGATATGCAACCTTCATTGCTTGGTTATTTTGTGAATGGTTTCTCATTTCTGGTTCACCGAATTTTGAGATTATGTTGTAGTAATTCAATGTCTTGATCATGATGCAGCTCTTGGCTGATGACCCAGCTATTCGTAGATTCAAGTCACACAAGTCAGGCGTCTCAAAAATTAACAAGATTGGAGATTTTCTCACAGTCGTCGTTGTTGTCGGTAAGTATTCTTGTTTATGTGCTTTAAGTTGAAGATCAATCAGCTTGCAACCAATGTTAAATAGAGCTGCTTATTTCATTGCTCTTTTGGCTCGGTTGGTGGGCTAGCTCTGGGTATACGGAATCATGATGAACTGATAGTAACCTTTAGCCACCGTCTGGTATCTCTGAGCATATTGTGGGGTTTGTTATCTACTAGGCCAGGAGCATGTGGTTTCTTAGTTCAATGCTGAGTGCGCAAACTTGTGCATTAGATCTATCATCCAGTTACCTGACTAATAAAAACTTCTTGGATATTTCTTACCATTTAGTATACATATAGTGATCAGGGTCGCCCGAAAACCATGGTTGCGAATATTGTTACTGACCTAAGCAATGGACCCTAGAACAGGAGGCATGTCAGTTGGAATTCGTCAAGTGAATCGCATTTGAGAGTGAAATCTAGAACATCCCTTGGATCTCCTTTTTGCATCGCCCAATTAATGAAAACACAAACCCTATTTTCTATGCAAGTTGAGGATCATCATCCCTCTATCTTGTTTTCAGGAAGAACCTTACATACATTCAGCAATGGAGCAGTATCCATTCATTTTGTCAGACTGAGGGTCATGACCTATGGCCATGTTATCTATGGAACCTAATAATGAACTACAATGAAATTTACTCATTCAATTTCTATCTGCCCTACTCCACCTCCTGCTGCGGCCTTGCAACTTATCAATTGTGTCTTACCCTTTTTTCCCTAGGGTGCTGCTATGAGATTTACGTGAAAGCAACAATGCGCGAAGAATCAAGGGAAAAGGGAGGTGTGAGTGCATAAGCTTGTGCAGCTGCCAACACTCGTACCAGTGTCATCGTGTTTTCCCTTTGGCAACTGAACAACCTGCTTGTAGGCTGGTGTGATGATGATCTCTGACTAGATGCCGATAGTTCTGGTTCATAAGCAGATGATGAATAAATTTTTTCAGCTTTGGTAGATGGATATAGACACTCTAGCATCCCGTTGTTTATTGGCTGGAATTTGGTATGTAGCTCGGCTCTCTGGTTGTTTTCGAGGAGCATATCGAATTGATTGGTGTAACCACATCTCTCAGTTTCAAATGGCACGATGAATAAGGCACAATGGTTTTCTGGGGAAATGTTCAAATGATTGTGACTTTGTTAAGGAATTCATTTGCGGAATTACTTTCATAATTCTAGACCTGGCAATCGGGGGTAATTTCGGATTGAGGCCTTCCGTTACGGGTTGGGTCATGTTGGGTTGGCTGATTTCGAGTCAAATATTGACACAACCCATCCGGTTTTGCGTCGGGTTACAGGGCATTTCGAGTATGAGTATGAGCGCTATCAGAAACAATATCAAATATGCTTCATATTTTCTTAAAAACACAAATTTTCACATATGCATTATCATAGTTTAACTAACACATGTCGATTAACATATTCTCAAATCCTCTCATGCTAATGAAATGAAATACAAATTGCGCAAATCATCAAAAAACAATCACAAGAGTGATGCTACTACAAGAAACACATGATATTTGATTATCCTTAAACTCCAAATATGTCATTCAAATTCTCGTGAATTTTTTTAAAACATCTAACTAATTTATGAGTGATTTTATCATTTTGCGAGTGATATATAAAATGAAACGGGTCTAGCGGGTTGACCCGCTAACCCACCCAACCCGATCCAAGAAATCACGGGTTATCGGGTTCAGGTTATTTGGGTTTCGGGTCATAAAAAAATCTACTTTTAGAGCGGGTTCGGGTAGGGTCAACGGATCGAGTTGTAATTTGCCACGTCTACATAATTCCCAGGTCTCAGAAAAGGCTATAGACCATGCATATTCCTGCCTTACCCTCCGCACGGTTAAATTGAACCCCTTATCTAGAGGTGTCAATTGGGCGCGTTTGCGTTGGATTCAATAGCGTGACGAGTTAGTAAGGTTTCGGGTTCATTAAGTTGCAGGTTTGTTGGGTTGCGGCTTAGTCGGGTTATGGGTTACGGGTCAGTCAGGTTTTGGGTTCAATGGATTGCTGGTCAATCGGGTTACAGGTTGATTGGGTTATGGGTAGGGCCGATTGGGTTACGGGTTGGCGCATTGTGTTGCTTACTCTTTACTCGTTGCAACTTCCACTTTATTTATTACACTAATTTCAAACATTTATCGCAATTTTTAAACAATTTGTTTCTACCTTATATTTAGGGGTGAAAATCGGTACGGTATCCCAATACCAAATACCGAAATCCCGAATACCAAATCATACCCGAAAGTCAATCACAATCCCAATCCCTAAATATTCTGGTATCCCAACCGGTACTTCGGTATCCCAATCGGTATTATCGAATACGCAATTAATTACATTTGAAATAAATAATTAAATATATAAATTAGATTTGATTGATTAATTTAGGGCAGAGATACTAAGCAAAGAGTCTTGAGTTTGCCTAGAGCTAGGATATGGATAAGGAGAATTAAGGAGAGTTGGCATCTCAAGTTATTGTCATTGGTAATCTTTAATTTGATGAATTAAAGACCGAGAGTCGACTAATACTAGTGATTGCTTTTGGTGTTATGAAAATAACAAGTTATTAGGTGAGAGATGAGAGTGACTTAAATTGGAAAGTCAAAATTGAGTTGGATGGAGACTTTTGAGTTGTGAAACAAAGATGAAATGATCTATGTATAATTAAATGACACTTTTGGTGGTTGAGGGTTGTGTAGTAGTGAATGAGAGAGTCAATTTGAGAGAATAAAATACACAGTAGCTTATATTTCGGTATTGATCGGTATTTCGGTATATACCGATCCCAATCACGTAATCCCTAATACCGAATTACAATTGAAATTCAATCCCAATCCCAAGAAATAATACGTGTATGCGGTAATACCAAATATAAACAAATTCGGTACGGTATTCGGTAAATCCCAAATACCGGTACCAAACTTCCAGCCCTACTTATATTCATATATTTACTTATAAACTTTTTTTTAGAAGTAATTGTAAAAGCTAAGAAAATTAGGGCTAGTAATAGGTTTGCCGGGCTCAAGATCTAAGGATGGAGAATTAAAGACTATTTTTATTTTCACTAGCTTTCTTAATTGACTCATATCTTTTTCGTTTTAACTCGGATTTTAATTTTTTTTGCACAGATGGAACGAGTTCACCGTGCTCTACAAAATGAGATCAATTTTCAATATTTTTTGAGGAAAAAAGATTCTGGCCTCTCGGTACCAACTGCATACCATATGGTATTTTCTTCGTTTTTAATTCGTTTTTGAAAACGTTTGCACAGCAGGGACGAGTTCATCATGATCTACTGTATCTACAAATTTCTGGGTGAACAAAATACAGGACCAAAAAATACCACACAATACCATACAATACCACCCTGATACGGGGTGGTATTGTATGGTATCTTGTTCGTTTTTAATTCGTTTTTGAAAACGTTTGCACAGAAGGGACGAGTTCATCATGATCTATTGGATCTACAAATTTCTGGGTGAACAAATTACAGGACCAAAAAATACCACACAATACCATACAATACCACCCTGGTACGGGGTGGTATTGTGTGGTATACAATGTTAAAAGTCGTAAATTACAATTAATATACTTCTACTATCATGTATTCAACCATCCTACATATTGGTTTGTTCATACCACCATGGTATGTTTTTCAAAACATAGGTTTGCTTTTATTTCAATACCAGTCAATACCATATGGTATAGGCTGGTAAAAAATGGCTCAATTTTTTTTGTTCGAAAAATATATTAAAGTGGATATCATTTTGAAGAGCACAATTAATCTGATCTAACTGTACAAAAAAAATTTAAATTTCGACTTAAAATGAGCGAGAAATCGTCCGTCAAAGATTAAAGAGGGAAAAATTAAAGACTTTCTATGAGAGAGAGGATGCTGATGTCATGCTGATGTGGACGGGTTACTCATGGTTACTCACCATAAGGTTACTTACCTGATCCATTCCCGGTTTGCCGGTTATAGCGTTAACCGGCTGTAACGGTTGTCGGCGACAAAACAGGGGCGCTCGGTATACCGAATAACAGGCGGTTAGTGAACTAACCGAATCTCCCACAGCAAACGACAGCGCAGCAGGGGCAAGGCGCACTAACCAGTAACCATCCGACTTCCCTTCCTCACGTCATCTTCGTTCATTCCTTTTCTCGGCATCGCCCATTCCATTCCAGTCAACACGGGCAGGGCTAAACCGAGGCAGCCAACCAGCAAGCCCAAGAAACGACTTTGTGCCTTGGACTCGATAATCAATCCGCCTACCGTTGTTCCGCCGGACATTGGAGCGATGAAGCTATTCGAAGACGACGATGTCATTGCCGAGGATATATCCAACATTGAGATTGATTGACCAGGAGTTCGCCCGGCGGTACGCGCACAACAAGAAGCGGGAGGATCTCCGGCGGTACGTGGAGCTGAAAAAGAGTGGCCGAATCGAGGACGACCATTCGGAATCAGACTCCGAGTCGTCGGACGACGAGGCTGTCGATATCGCTGGTGCCAACAAGAAGAAGGACATCAAGTTCTTCGAGAATCTGCTCAAGGTAAGGAAGCAAGACCCTTGTGATGGCGACAAATTTGGAGTCACCTTTCAATTTGTCGCAATTGTCGCATCTGGAAATGGAAGTATTGTGTTTATCTCTTCCATTGCCGGGTTGGTGGGGAATGAATCAGGTCAGTAACCTTATGGTGAGTAACCATGAATAACCCGTCCACATCAGCATGACATCAGCATCCTCTCTCTCATGGAAAGCCTTTAATTTTTCCCTCTTTAATCTTTGACGGACGATTTCTCGCTCATTTTAAGTCGAAATTTAATTTTTTTTGCACAGTTAGGTAAGATTAATTGTGCTCTTCAAAATGATATCCACTTTAATATATTTTTCGAACAAAAAAAATTGAGCCATTTTTTACCAGCTTATACCATATGGTATCGACTGGTATTGAAATAAAAGCATACCTATGTTTTGAAAAACGTACCATGGTGGTATGAACAAACCAATACTGTAGGATGGTTGAATACATGATAGTAGAAGTATATTAATTGTAATTTACGACTTTTAACATTGTATACCACACAATACCACCCTGGTACGGGGTGGTATTGTATGGTATTGTGTGGTATTTTTTGGTCCTGTAATTGTTCACCCAGAAATTTGTAGATCCAATAGATCATGATGAACTCGTCCCTTCTGTGCAAACGTTTTCAAAAACGAATTAAAAACGAAGAAAATACCATACAATACCACCCCGTACCAGGGTGGTATTGTATGGTATTGTGTGGTATTTTTTGGTCCTGTAATTTGTTCACCCAGAAATTTGTAGATCTAGTAGATCATGATGAACTCATCCCTGCTGTGCAAACGTTTTCAAAAACGAATTAAAAACGAAGAAGATACCATATGGTATGCAGTTGGTATCGAGAGGCCAGAATTTTTTTTTCTAAAAAAATATTGAAAATTGATCTCATTTTGTAGAGCACGGTGAACTCGTTCCATCTGTGCAAAAAAAATTAAAATCCGAGTTAAAACGAAAAAGATATGAGGCAATTAAGAAAGCTAGTGAAAATAAAAATAGCCTTTAATTCTCCATCCTTAGATCTGGATTTTCTAAATGAAGGGTCTAGATTTGGTTATTGATGGGTGCATAACCCATGGTTATGCACCCTATCTTGAGCCGGGTTGGTGGCTCTTCCTTTTCTATCGGGTTACGCAGCTACCAAAGGTAACCAACATATAACCATCTTCCTGGGTTCGTTGGCGTTTGGGTATTTGCGAATTTATCTCGGTAAAGTCTGGATTTTTTACTTTTCCGAATGATACGATGATTTTGGGATCGATATGATCATTGTGAAATAATAAGCGATTCAGCTCACATCTATATCCTCTTCGGATATGGCAAGACGCTAGTCGTCAATTTGCTCTCCTTGTGGAGCCTGTCTATTTTGGTGTTCTCTATCAAATTCATATCTCGACCGAGAAGGATGAGTGGAGATTGTGCTTTTGATACTTGTGTTTCTTGTTGGCCGGAGCTCCTTGGGGTCTTTGCCGGATCCGTCCCTTCATTGGTCGGCGAAGGTATGGTTTCTCCTATCTTAACTCCGGCGACATCTTTGATTCCGTCATCATTAATTGAGTTTTTGGATTCCGCTCTTCTCAAAGCTGACTGATTAATCATCGGTTTCG